ATGTCTGTCACTGATTTGAATGATGGTAAATAAATGAATGACATTTGTTATAAAGAGTTTTTCATTTTTGAAAGAAACACAAGATGAGATAAATGAAAAGAGCATAAGAAAATGATTTACATTGGGGCAAGTAAGGTGATCTTATGATAGATTGATTGACATGACCTACGAGTTATGACCAGATGAGAAGAATGACATGGATCGATTGATAAAATTTTGTTTTAAGATGCTGAAAAGCTAAGAAGAACTGGTAGAGTCTTGAGAAACCTTGTTTCCATAATCAAAATTTAATGACATTAGCATTACATTCATTGCGTTTACATTCACAGCCTGGATAGGGTATACATTCATATCATTGCATAATCATTCATCACAAGTTCTGATCTGAGCTCAGTCCAAATCATTTTTGTATGACTTGTGGTTTCATCCTAATAATTTATTTTCAACATCGATTGGTCCTAGTCGCTTTATTTTCTGACTCATGGTTTCATCCCAGTCACCTGATTTGGCTCAGTACAGATCATTTTTTATGACTTGTGGTTTTATCCTAATCATTTTATTTTTTACTTTGACTCGGTCTTAGTCGCTTCATCTTATGACTCGTGGTTTCATCCCGACCATTTTTTTTGACCTTAACTTAATCTGGTCATTTCATTTTTTGACTTGTGGTTTCGTCTCCGTAACCTGATCTTAGCTCATTCCAAATCATTTTTTATGACTCGTGGTTTCATCCCTATCATCCAATCTTGGCTTGGTTTAGATCATTTTTTGACCTTTGCAAAACTTGAAATCTTACTAATCTTTATATCTTGCAAATCTAAAAGTCCTTGTGAACTGGAATCTTGTGAATCTTTTTATCTTGTGAATTGAAAGTCTCTATGAATTTGGAATCTTTTCGAATTTAGAACCTTTGTGAAACTTAGAATCTTATGAATCTATCTTTCTTGAGAATCTGAAAGTCCTTGCGAACCTGGAATCTTTACGAATCTAGAACCCTTCCGAAACTTGGAATCTTATGAATATGTCTTTCTTGCAAATATGAAAGTCCCTGTGAACCTGAAATTTTTGCGAACTTAGAACTTTTGCAAATCTTGAAATCTTGCAAATTTGAAAACTTTTGTGAATCTTGAATATTTATGATTTTGTTAGGCTTAGAATATTGGGATCTTTCAACTTCTGTTATGAAACATTACAAATTTTTAAATGTCCAAATTGTGAATTTTTGGATCTATAGTGAAATTTTGAATTTCATTTTCAGATCCAATCTTGACTCAGGCCATATCATTTTTCTTAACCTATGGTATCGTCCTAGTCATTCATCTTTGACCTTAACTCAATCTTGGTCGCCTTCAGACTAGCAACATTGTCTTAGTCATTCGATCTCAGCTCAGGTTAGATTATTTTTAGACTAGCAACATCATCCCAATCATTCATTTATGACCTCGACTCGGTCTTGATCACTTTTAAACTTACGACATCGTCTCAGTCATTCATTTACGAGTTTGACTCGATCTTAGTCACTTTCAGACTTGCGACATCGTCCCATTCATTCTATCTTGACTCAGGTCAGATTATTCTTAGGCTCATGGCATCATCTCAATCATTCATCTTCGATCTCGACTCGATCTTGGTAACTTCTTGATTCGTAATTCCATCTCAGTCAGTCATCTTTAACCTTAATTGGTCTTAGTCGCTTTATTTTTTGACTCGTAATTTTCATTTGATCTCAATTCCATCCAGATCATTTCACGATATCGGTCAACCTTTCTTGACTTTGACTCAATCCTGATCACTTTATTTTTTTGACTCACGGTTTCATCCTAGTCATTCGATCATGGTTTCGTCTAGATTATTTTTTTTAACTTACAGCTTAGTCCTGATCATTTCTACCTGTTAAGTTAACTCTTGAAACAGAATGGGTGTCTAAGTCTTTGTATCATCTTTGTTTGACAGAAATGTGTAAAAAGGGATAGTTGTGAACACTCATTTATGTCCGAAGTCAATCAGATTAATTTTATTTTTTCTATTATTATTACTAGTATTATAGTATAGTATATCACTATTATTATATTATTATTATGGTACTATATTATACTATATTATATTATTATATTATTATACTATATTATTATTATTATTATTATTATTATTATTATTATTATTATTATTATTATTATATCATTATCATTTTTTTCTTCATTTCTTTCTTTCCTAATTGCTAGTGAGAATTTTGGAAACGAAAACTAAATAGCCCATATCAGAATCTCACAGTTAAATGTTTTTAATGATAAATCAAGTTTGGCTAATTGACCAGATTCAATTAGGACCAAATCAGGATCCTAGACAAAGGCTCGGACAGAATCAAATTTTAGGATTCAAGCCTAGATTGATTCTGTCCATTTCCTAAAATTGGTTCTAAGGCTACCTATAAATTGAACTAAAGATCAAAGGAATGGGTATGCTGGATTTTAAGAAAAAAAAGTTGGTTTTTGGAAAGTGGGTGTTCTAAATTTTTTTGGCAGAATAGAAGTGTTTGGGATTTGGATTTCTGATTTTGGTTTTGTTCGAAAGATTCTGAGTTAGATTTAGGTTTCTGGGGTTTAGATTTGAATTCTAGAGCATTTTTGAACAAATCTAGGCAAATTTGCAAAATTTTGGGATTTTTTTGGAAAAAATTTGGGTTTTTGGGAAGAACATGAAGTTTCGATGACCAAATGAATTTTTTGGTCAGTTTCCAGCTAGATTTTCATAAAGCAGTGAGTTTTCTAATTTTTGGTTGAATTTCTCAGTGATTTTTTCAAAAACCGATGAATTTTCAATTTTCGATTGAAGTTACTGATAAGTTTTTGGAAGAAATTCTAGAGAGAAGTCAGAGCTTCTCGATTTAGAAAGAGAAAGAACATATGGGATTATGAGAAAAACGTTGGGACATGGCTTTTATAACAGCCCAAAACAATGTTGTTTTGGCACATCCAGATCCATGCTCTGACTCGACAACCCACATGTTGACCCACGCACCGACCCAACCCAGATCGTAAGGTTTTTTTTTTCATTTTATTTTTTATTTTTTTGATTTTATATTTTTTAGCTTATTTATTTTTAGTTTTTATTATTTTTTTGGTTTTATTTTTGAGAAATTTCGTAAAAATTGTTTCTATTTAAAAAAAAAACGATTGTATAAAAATAAAAAAAATTCTTTTCAGTAAATAAAAAACAAAAAAAAAAATCTTTTTCAAATAAGTTTTCAAAATAAAATAAAAACAAAAAAAAAATCTTTTGAAGTTTTTTAACAAAAAAAAATCCTTTCAACAAATAACAAAAAAAAAGTTTTTCAAATAAAAATCCTTATAAAATAAATTCATGAAATTCTACCAAACTATTGGAGAATTTTTATGGATTTAATTTTTTAAAATAGAATTCATCAAACTATTGAAAATTTTCATAAAATCAATTTTCAAAAAAACAAAAACAAAAATAATTTTCATTCTCTAAACTATTAAATGATTATTTTCTAAATTAAGTCTTATTAAACTATTGGGAGACTTAATGAGATTCTTAAAATTTTTACAAATCTTTTTACAATACATCTCACCAAACTATTGATAAATTTGTTTCAAAGTCTTACCAAACTATTAGGAGATTTTACTAATTTTTTAAAATAAAAGTACATTAATAAATTCGATGACGAAACTTCTTCAAAATGGGACACTAATCTCTATGAATACTCATGAAGTAAGAGAATTATCTTAAATTGCTACCAAACTATTGAGATAACTTTAAAATTAATTTTTAATATTTAATATTTTGGTAAATTATAAATATTTTTTAGGGCTTGGATAATTGAAATCAAACTGGTACCATTTTGGAATGGGCGCTGTGGGGGTGTTATAACTTCTCTACGCGTAATCGTACTTTTGAACTTAAACTCTAGTTTCGTAGATCATAACTTACTATTTAAAAATATTTAAGTCAATCTTAAAACTCTTTTTAAATAGGACAGATTCAATCAAATGATCAATCACATCTAAACAAAAAAGATTGGTGGCAACTTCTCTTATGTATGTCTAGAGGTAGGTCCACGGATCATACATTATAATAAGGGTTTTGGTGATTTGTTTGGGGTTTAGAGAAATAAAATGTTTGATGTTAATTTTTTTTTACTGATTATTTGTTTTTCAAATTTTCTGGCCACATAAGCTATATAAGTCACATAAGCATGCTTACATGTCATTTTGTATCCACATGGTGCATTGTTATTGGCTAAAATATCCACGCTAGCATCAAGACTAATGCAATTAACCCTAGAACCAAATTGATACATGATTTCATAGTTTAGGTATCTATTTAGCAACTTTTTTAGTTTAGGTATCAAATCTAATAAACCATTATAATTCAGGAGTTATTTAGGATATTATCCTTAATTTTAAATTATAATTAATTAATTATTTTATAATGATTGTAGATAATTTTAAATTATAATTGATTAATTATATTATAATAATTATTAATAAAATGCTCTCAAAATATATTTTGCTTTTGTTTCTTCTGTGTTCTTGAAAATTGTGCCCTTTTCAAATGGAAATTATTTAGATAATTTAAGATATGTTATGTTTGGTGTACAAAATTATAATAGAATAGAATAAGATGATATTATGATTAGTATTAGATTAAATAATATTATATTATCTTGTATTTGATATATGAAAAAATTATAATAAAATAATTTATTTATTTGGTCAAAATTATCTTTCTTCAAAGTTTATACAATTTAAATTATTAAAATAATTTTTATGGATATAATAAAATATGTAAATTCAATCTTATGGATTAAAAATAATTATTTTCACTTCAAGAAAATTAAATCATTCTATGTGAAAAAAATGATTAATCATCCTTATAATTTTATCATTTTTTTAAATATAAACCAAACATAATATAAAATAATTATTACTCTATTATATCCCATGGATCTTCCAATAATCTTCTCAAAAGCAGACAAATCAAGGCATCATTCAGAGTCAGAGCCGCCAATCAATCATGCAATATTCCTGCATGTATAGCTCTTTGGATTTGCTTTCATATTGGTATTTCTACAGGATTATCTACAACAATTCCTGAACAGTTTGGCATTTTATTTCTATAATAAAACTTTGAACTTTACAAATTACATTTCTTTTATTCTATTCAAACGTAATAAATATCATATCCAAAGAAGTACTCTGATTAAATTTGTAACCAAAATTACGCTAGGTCAGCCCAACTCTTTTTAGGCTTTATATACTTTTAAGGCATCTGCATTCGCATCTTGTTGAGAAAGCTGCCTTTCCTCTGCATGCTGTTCAAGGTATTCTTTGCTGTTCATTTCTGTTAGTCTGCATTAATTATTATTATTTTTTTAAAGAGTCAGTTGTTGGGAACAGGAATGAATGGCACCCTGCCTTATTACCAGAAAGAAAAAAAATTATAAGCACCCTAATGCTCATGCGCTGCCATTTTCTACAACCAACTTAATAGAATGCCTTTACCTAAAGATCATAGCTGGGAAAATGTGATGGTGTGTGCGTCAATTCGTGTTTAGTATGCAGTGAAAGCCAAAGAAACTGGTACAAAGAAAGAGTTAAGATCGAAAAAATTTACACGCCAAGGGTAGCATTTATACCTACTAATGGTGCGGTCCTTTGCAAATCCCAATTCATTATCCACACAAAGATCTGAATCATCATTTCTCCTTGACCTCGAGGAGGTTCTAGGGGCCATTTGCTGGGCATCTGAAACTGTCATGATATTTTCAAAAAGTTCGTGTGGGCTACCCTCAGCTGTACACAACAGTCTGGACCTGTTCTCATACATTACCTGCAACAAAGAAAATAATAATGTAAGGGAAACCGGTATAGCTTTTCATCACAACAAACTAGGAAGAACAGAGCATTTCAAATGAAGAGTTCATGAATGATGCTCTGTAGCATTATAGGAGCAAACAATCACCACACTCTTAAACGAATGCTCTGTAAAATTTAAGAAATCATGATTAAGGCTAACAAATCTATCATATACATTCATCATTAAAAATTATAGTCCCAACATAACGGTTAGTTAGCAATTCATGCAACATAAACAGAAGCATTCCTCTACACAGAATACTTCTCTTCAGGCATTTACAACATGCATGGAACAAACTTACGGAAAAAAGACTGCTAATATCAAAAGTACTTAGATATACTCCCAGCAATACATGTCCTAAGCGAACAAAGAAATATATGAGATTAACACTTCTTGATGCCCACGAAAGACAAGTTAAATTTAGTCTTAGGAAATCAAAAACAGTCAAAGCTACGAGAAGCAATGGAGCATACATCAACCAAAGTGACAAATCGATATGCTGCTGTCCTGTTGTGGAGCCCAAAGTCTGGAACACCTTCCAAAGCTAGGGTATGAAAGTTCTCTACAAGAAGAAGATAATATAAGAAATATCTTCAAAACGTAATGTCCTAAGATTTTCATTAAAGGATCTATCCAGAAAAGAAAGGATTTTCACCAAAGGAGATGCCCGATACATTTTCCAACAAAAAAACTAACAAAACAAATCCATATTCAACTGCTTCAACCAAGGTGACCTCCCTATGACAAAGTGATAGGTGAACTGCATAAAAGAGACCTACTTTTTAAAGTAATATCTCTTTCCTTGAGTTTATGCAGGAGAAACAAAGATAAGGTAACAAATAATACTTTATGTTGTCCAGTTATTGGATCTGAATGCTCAGTTACTGTAGAAATAAGTATAAATTAGGCTAAAATGATTAAAAAGCCCTTGAACTATTTTAAAAAATCTAAATATGCCCTTATCCTTTCATTACATCAAATTAAGCCCTTAAAATTTTATTTTTCATTAAAAAAACCCTTATTCCAGTCATATGATCTGCATGTGCATTAACTTTTTGACATGTTGGCACTTACTCAACATGTGAAAAGATGACATGGAATTATTAGATGATGTGGCAACCTAATTCAATCAAACTATCAAATTATTATTCCAATCTAAACTATCAAATTCATATTTAAGGTACTCTTATCCTATCTTGTTGAGACTAAGCAAGAAAAAAAAGTGTAGATGTCAACATTACTTGAATATCACTTACTGAACAATCCAAAGTAGTCTGCAGCCCCAAGAGGTTTGTCACAGAGTTCCTCAAATGAGAAATAAGCACATCCATTAGCACCAAGTGGAACCTGGTCACAAGAAAGGAAAAGAAAAGCTAAATCAATCAATCAAGTAATGCACCCTACATTGAATACAAGTTAGTAGCCTAGCATGTACCTGCAATGTCCTACCCATAACTACATCAACCACTTGTGGACTAGCGACATGTTCACCAATCAATTGCTCAAATTTCTGTTTGAGGAGGCCTGACAAATCTTTGCCAATGAAGTAGAAACCTTGTTCTGCCTGCAGGAAATTAGAAGATGATAATTTCACACTAGAATCGCAGATACGAAATTTTGGTAAATCTACATGGGAAGGATTTATATCATACCGAGGTCAGTTTCCGATAGTCTACTGCTGAACCAATTTCATGAACAACGCATCTTTCCTACAGAAACATGAGCACCCTCAGTTTTTAATAAATTCCAAACATACTCTATATGGCTCACAAATCCACCACCCACCGACTGCCCCCCTCCCAATCCCAACCCCCAATTCACAACATTAAGAAGATGTCTCCACCGATACCTTCAAAGTGGCAATGAAAGGTAGAAAAAGATCCCTCTGCAATCCACCTTCGTAGAGATTGTCCGGAGCACGATTTGAAGTTGCAGCAAGTATCTACAATTACCTCCCATCAGAGCCCATGCAATTAATTTTCAACTGAAAATAAGTGGCAACAGAAAATAATTACAAACAAGATATATTTACTTACAACGCCATTGCTAAACAAATGTCTAAAAAGACGATTCAGTATCAATGCATCAGCAACATCAGTCACCTATAAAAGAACACAAACACAAATCAAAATTTGGCTGCAGAGATATAAAGCAATTGATTTGAATGTTAAATCAGAATAACAAATGATAATTCAATATTCTTTTTCCCCTATTGTGTGGAAAATTAATGGTATTATAAATTCTGTACCATAAATTCATCTAGACATAGTAAAACAGCCTCGTCAGATATCTCTCCTGCTACAACTTCAAGTGGATCTGCCACACCCTTGTGCCTCTACAAGAGTTAATCATTGTTATAAACTCAGATCATCATTGTGCTTATCACAATGTGCAATGCGAAACAGCAAGGACAGAAAGAGATATTGTCAAAAAATTCCAACCACGATAGTTAGCTAGACAATGAAAGAATCCAAACTCTAAACAACCATGGTAGTTAGCTACACATAAGCACATGAGTATATAAATAAATAAATGCGTATGATTCCATCCAGGAATTGCCACGAAACTTATCAATAACTCCCCCGTTCACAATACTGTACAGATTATTAAGAAAGATAAAAATTCTAACCAAAACTGAAATTTTTTAATAACAACAGCTTAATCACTCCACCCAGAATTAAGTCTTGTCTGCATTCTTCAGTGTGAGATGTTTTCTTACATGGTGATTAAGTTCTTCAACTAGGAGAAATATACAATGATACAGATTCTCACCTGCAACCGGCTGTGGACATTCAACATGAAGTCATGAAAATGGATCCTATTCTTCCTCCAATTGCTGGGCCTGAAAAGGTGGAAATGGAACATTAGGAGAGAAATCTGTAGGTAAGAGCAGTTGGCATGGATGGCAATGATGAGTAAGAACATCACAGATTTATACATACAGATAACATAAATTATTTGAACAACATACCCATATTGTAAGTTGAATAAGATTTTATCTCCGTTTCTCTGACTAACAGCATAACATTCAATAAAGTCAATAAATTCATATGCTAATGAAACTTACAATTGATCATAAAAAAGGTCCATCAACATAGTTTTCCCCGTGCCTACTCCTCCATAAAGATATAGTCCCTTGACAGGGGAGCATGAAGACCGTGGCATTAAACGAGACCAAAACCACCGATTCCTGAAGAAAAACAAAACAGTGACAACTATTGATAAATGAAATAAAACAAAAAGAACATGGTGAAACCAATTTAAATTAAGATGAACAGAAAGAATACAATCTATCCCAATATAAACAGAATAAGAAAACAGGGGTCGAAACATGGGAGAAATAAAACAGAAATTTTACCTAACAGTTTTCTCAGGAACTGCATAGCGTTCCAATCGACAGGCATCAGCTGACTCAACAATCTCATCATAAAGCCTTCGAAGTTCTCTTAAAGTGCCTACCTGCAAAGATTACTGTCAGAATAAATCCACAATGGCAGATCTCAAAACTGTCTAACACAATGCCAGCAGGAAACCAAAGACATGGTATCAATATAGTAACAAACCAAATCGTTCAAATATTTAGCAGGTGTACACAGCTACATGAATGTGAAGTTGGATTTATAGTTCTGCATTCCTCTCGATTAATGATTGTTTGGTTTGCACAAACAACATTTGAAATAGCATCAGCTATAGGACTCCTTTTATTTGTTATTGGCAATTCTTATCCTCTGGAACAACATAAAAAACAAATGCGAGGCTAAAAAGAAATTGATACCTGGCAGGCATCACCATCAACGAGTTCACCAGCTGCAATTCTCCTTTCATACTCCACAAGCGGCCCTGCTTTGTTCACTTCTGCGTAACAACCACATAAATGACAATTTCACATTCAGTTCTGTGTCCTAAGCTAATTTACTTAATTAAAAAGAAAATTAGAAATGGAATAGAACCTGTGATATTAACTTTCGCAGCAGCATCCGTTGAGAAAACTCTTGATATAAAAATTGCAGGGAATAAAAATCTATGGATTTCGGCATTGCCAGTCTGTCTATAAACAGAACTAGAATTGCCTTCAATCAAATGACTTCGGCTTCTTACAAAAGCAACCGAATAACTATTCCTCTGATGTCGAAAAGCAGATTTTATGTTGCGAACAGCCGCTCTCATTTTCAATTAAGTAAGAGCTTAAAGTTCTAAATGTTTACCTGACACCAAAAAAAAAAAAAAGTAGGTAAAATTTTCAATTTTATGAAACAGAATAAATTCAGGATTTAAATTTTGAAAAATATTTTTAAAAGAAAAACCATCATTGATTATCAATTAACTTGTTGAAGAAAATAAGAATATATATAAAAATTAGCGTAATTAAAAAGAAATATATTTAATCAACTAATAATTGTTTTCATGAATTAAAAGTAATGAATATCGAGCTCCTCATTATATACGAAAAAATTTTTTAAAAAAAATGACTACGAAAAAATTGACCAGGGAATACAAGTAAATAATTATCAAAAATAGTAAAAGAAAAAAAAGTTTAACTTTTTATTTTATTTGTTTGGATTTTCGGTTGTGGAATCGAGTAGAGAAGCGACCCAAAGTTTCAGGGGAGTCCTTCCCAAGAAACAGCTTAAAAGGTGAAAAAAAGTAAAAAGAGAGAGAGAGAGAGATTACAGAAGTTGGAGGCTTGGAGTTGGAGGTGAAGGTGAAGGTGAAGGTGTCCAAGAAGTCCGACTTGATGGATTTACAGGCAGACTTTGCGCTGTTTTTGACTCACTATCCCGATTAATTAATTAAACAAATTGTCTCGTGAATCATGCTGTTTGTGTCAGCAAACCAACTGCAAAACAAACAAGTGTTTGCTTAAATAAAAAAACATAATTTGCCGACCAAACTTGTATCATTAACAACGGCAAGAAGGGATTTTTAAAAGTAATTTCATAAAATACTACTAAACATTTTCTTTTTATCTATGGAAATTTTGGTTTGATTAACCTAATTTAAATCTATTTTGTCCGCTAAAAAATGCAAAGACGAAAAGGAAAATACGTCCAAAAGGGGAATATAGGCCCCACTGATTTTGCAGGCTTCGCATTCTTGTCCCATAGACTAATCGCCACAAAATTTGGACAAAGCCTATTTCGGTGCGCGTAGGCCCCAGTGGCCATTACCCCTATTTGGTTGACGTGACTCTTCACCAATAATTAGTAGGGACAGATTAACTTTCTCATCTAAATAATTAAATGATTATTTTACAATATTTTAATTATAATTTTTTTTTCTGATATGGAGTTCCCTTTCAATTCTTGCTCAAGCAAAGGTAAAACAACCGATTAGAACAGGGATGCGAATGCAACACAGTAACGCTTGATTTTAATACACTGCTAAGTTTTATTTTTTTTAATGCAGTGGTAAGTTTTTTTTTATAAAATCTAACACCAAAAACCAATAAATAAATAAATAAATAAAATGGGAAAACAAAAAAAGACAGGAGCTTCATTGTTTTTAATTGTCGTAGGATTCCTCTCAAAAAACTGGTGCTGTTGGATTAAGTGAAAAAGTAGCTGGAAAACTTGAAATTGTACTTTAAATGCCGTAAGCAAGCACCTCACGTGCATGTACGACATTTGCCCAATTGTTGGCGCGGCCACTTGGTACTGCCATGGTGTTTCCCAACTGACCGCTTGCCAATAATATTCTTCCACTTGTTTAGACCGGCATTTTTTGGCATTATTTCACGTCATTTATTGAATCGACAGACTGTTACATTTTTATTGGCAAAAAAAAAAAAAATTTATTAATCAAAATTTAAGTCTCAAATTAAAAGAAAAAAGCATTGTTTATCCTCATTAGTACTAATATTATTATCATATAAAATTAGTTATCAATATCATATCGAATAATAATTCATTTAAGATTTTAAATAAAACTTATTTGATGCACTGATTTTTTTTTATTAAACTATCAATTCAAAACAATTTATCATGAGATAAATGCTTAAACATCCCAATTATAGATACAGACCGACTTCAAATGCATGGTAATCAATTTTATCGGTTTGATCGCACATTCGAATTCAATTTTTAATGACTATGATTGCTACTATTAGTATGTTTCTACTTTCTTTTGTATTAAAAAAAAAAAACTATACTTTTGATTTTAATAAGAAAATAAAAACTAATATTTCAAAATAACAGAAATTTTAACTTTTGATTTAATAAAATGCATGATTTTATTGCATATATATGAAAGGATTATTTTACATCAAAATAATTATATTTAGATGTATAATCTTTTAACCATTCACTTTTTTTTATTAAAATGATTCAGTTATATACAATTTAATTTATATTTCTATAAAAACTTCTAAAATAATTATTAGTAAATCAGGTTATGGAAAAAAAAAAAAAAAGGCCTTAAGGTCCAAATTGAATTTGTTATTGTTGTTGTGGTGGAGTATCAAATATATTACTAATTGTTGAATATGTGCAATTTTACTATTATATTTTCTAATATAGTTTAAAAATGATAAAAAGTTAAAATATCGCTTAATATTTTGTTATTAAAAAATGTTGTAATAAGTAAGAAAAAAAAAGTATAGTGAGAAAATTGTACATGTTTGAATGATAAATTTGGTTCATTATCTTAGATATCATTAATGATAATTTAAAATTTATTTTCAAAAGTAAAATAAAAAGTAACATATACAAACAAACCCATTAAGTTTTTTAGTTTTCAAATCTTATTATAATTTGATTGTTATTTTTATCAATATTATTGATTAAATTGAAGCACTTGTATTATTCCATGTGAGACAATTGATAGTGGCATAATGAATTGAGACTTTTTTTTTTTCTTTTGGTAAAGAACGGAAAGCAAATTTGTACCATTAATAAAGAATTAGAAGAATGATCCGGTTTTGCCCGGTTATAATTTTTTTTATAATTTTTATGAAATATTGTATTTTTTATTTAATAATAAAAAATTAAAATTTTTAGTATTTTTTTTTTAAATATAATCTTCTGACAAAAAAAATAGACGTTTGAATTGTATCATTCAATCGTAATTGAACATGTATTGACTTTTATTTTAAATAAGAAAGACTACTTAATTTTAAAAAATTATATAAATTAAAACAAAATCTAATAATACATACATGATAATCTAATTTACCAATATAATATTTACCTATTACCAATGTCGATCAATTATCAAATTCAATCCCATTTACCAATAAAATCAAAGCCTACTAATATCATCACCCGTTCAACTTAATTTTTTAATAAAAAAATCAATAATTTTCATATAATAGAAGAGACATTATAGTAATTTTGTCCAATGATAATAGGAGGACATTTATGTAATCATGGTCGTACGAGTATTATATTAACTTTGATCAATTATGGTAAAAAAAATATTTTAGTAATTATGTTAAGAGGAATATTATAATAATTTTAGTTAATCATTGAAGAAAAAGTATTATAGTCAATTTGGATGTATCTCATTCAATTGCTAAGCAATTAAAAGGGCATTATGATAATTTCGAAAAGGATCACTTTCATATAATTGTATGGATATTAAAATTTAATTTGTAATTGTGAAGTAATAAATGGGCATTGTCATAATTATAACAAGAGGATATTATAGTATTTTTGATAAATTATAAAGTAAGAGGTATTTTCATAATTATAATAGAAGAGTATTATAGTAATTTTGACCTTTAATGGTAAGAGGGCATTTTAGTTTGTTATGGTAATAAGGGCATTATATTAACTTTAATCAATCATGGTAAGAGGGTATTTTAGTAAATATGTTAAGAGGAGCATTCTGGTCATTTTAGTTAATGATAAAATGAAGGGTACTCAGTTAATTTGGATGCATGTAATTCAATTGATAAATAATTTAAATGCCATTATGATTATTTTTAAAGGGACTAATTTCATATTATTGTATGGATATTAAAATTTAATAAGTAAATATAAAGCCATCCAAATGGTAGTTTCTTGAAATGCTTAGAGGGTATTATAGTTATTTTCATATATTATAATATGAGAAATATTTTCATTATTATGATAAAAGAGGTATGATATAAAGCAATTAAAAGGGTAATTTTTGTAATTATGGTTATAAGGTATCATAGTAATTTTAGCTAATCATAATATGAAGGGTATTTTCATAATTATGATAGAGGACATTTTCATATTATGGTTAAAGAGTATTATAGTAATTTTAACAAATTATAATATGAAAGATATTTTCCTAATTATTGTTGAAGGGCATTTTCATAATTATAATTGTATGACACTATAGTAACTTTAGCCAATTATAATAAAAGAGGTATTTTAATAATTATGTTAAGAGAGGCATTATAGTAATTTGGGGTGTTATAAATACACTACAAAAAATTCTTTATACACCTTATATTCCAATTATACCTACATATGAAATACTAATTTTAGGCATGATGAAAAGATAAAAATACCAGTTTCTTCCTTTTTTCATCTACCTTTTTAATCTCTCTTTGTCATATACTAAACTTTAAATCTTTAAAACAAAAACCAAATTTTTGAAACCTTAGTTAAACCTTACAAACCATGTAAGAATTGATTTAGAAATAAAAACAACAATGAGGGAGAAGAGTTCAAAGAGGTATGGAGTCGAGTCTAGAATTTTGTAATTCTCAAAAATTAACTTCCGAGAATATAATATATTCTCGAAAACATATTTTCAATATTTACATCTCATTTTCAAAAATGAATTTTCGAGAAAACAATGTAATTCTCATAAATGAATTTTTGAGAATACAATGTAATTCTCGAAAATATGTTTTCAAGAATATAATATAATTCTCATAAACGAATTATCGAGAATATAACGTTGCTAGTTAAAGATCCATTTTCAAAAAAATATTAGGTATTTTTGAAAATCCATTTTCAAGAGATATGGTGTCAACTCGGAAACGAATTTTCAAGAATTATATTTATTCTTAGAAGTTTGTTTCTGAGAATTACATTGTATTCCCAAAAATGAAAATCCATTTCCAAGAATACATTGTAATCCAAGAATTCATAATTATTCTGTATAATCTTTATATTTCTTTTAATAATATTTTTTTAACATATAGTGTGATAGGTAGATTAATTTGAAAAATGAGCTAATAGAGTGGGATCAATCACCACACAATTTAGATATTAGATATGATTGCATGAATTCATTTACTACGGATGAGATAAGATTATGTTTTTTAGATATAGTGTTATCTTAAGGCATAGAAGCATAGAATGTTAGTTTGTATATACGTAATAGGTTAAAAATATTTTACAGGTGTTTTGTAATAAAAAAAAGCTTTCGTTTCATGGGCTAGACATGTTAGAAAAAATGAAGGTTTCATCACAGTGATTAAACACTCTGAGTTGGAGGACTTAAGGAAACTTAGAATAAAATTGGCATGTGAACAAAGTGAAAAATACAGACAGCTTAAGAATAAGGGCGAATGTAAAAATAATGAAGCATAAAAGAATAGGAACGAAAAAGTATGGTTATTCATTTAGTTACATGGTATTAAGTTGGTAATGGATGATGAATGGGGTGTGAAAGTAATATGTGAAATTTACAATTATCTACCACCACAACAATTAGAGGGATATTCATACGTGGGTTAGTTAATTGAAAAAAAAAAGCTTAGTTGTTGATATGTCAAACAGTATAGTCAAACCCATAAATATATTGTTCATTATAAAACAAAATGATGAGAAAAATATTTGTACTATAAAGATAATATACAATAAAAGTCAAAAACACAAATATGTTGAAAAAGTTAGCAGATTACAAATGTAACAATTGATGAAAAGTTGACAAATTGTAACTACTTAGAGTAGCATAGGTATGATGAGTCAAATGACTATGTAAAAGACATGTTCTTAGCTCATCCTCTTAGTGTAGATTTATTGCAAGCAT